GGCTTAGAAATCCTAATAAGTGAAAGTCCTAAAAGCTGTACCTGAACCCCAAAAGTATGCCGAATAATGGCCTCTTGGGCTGTTGTTAGAGGTCTTGGGCTATGATTTTACCTACTTCTGGGATTGGTAGGTAGGCTAAAGCCGGTCAGGCCCACGTTACGGCTTCCATGAAGTGTCGATTCGTCCTTGGAATGGAGAGTCGTACGCCTCGAGCTCTGAAATTGGAATGCTGTAGCTGTCTTTCTCGACGCTTTTATGTAGTACAACAAATCGCGCGGTAAAGTAGCTACTGAATTCTAGTTTTGCTTTCTCATCGGGGCTGCAGTCGAGGGGTACATTGACCTTCTGGATTCGAGGGTAGAATTTCTGTCAAGTATCGATTCAACTTCAGATTGGGATTTTCCCTGCGAATGAAGCCTCATAAGATATGAATGATAAGGTCGCAATCAGATGTCCTGCGCACCCTATCCTTCATGATTCATGGTACCGTCATGGTTTCCACTAAGTTTAAATGCAACATGAGATTCAGCAAAACTGAAGTGTCATCATCACACCACTGCGTACAATTGCAGTTCAAAGCCCTGCAATGCCCTAAGGCTTCAACTGGCCTAGACCTGTGGCATTGGCTGGTTGTTAGGAAAACATGTATCCCTTGCTGAGTATACACGGTCCAAAAATGATCCTGTTCTGTTCCATGTGGAAGCAGTCTTGCTCTGCTTGAGCTGGCTTGCGACAGCGACCTCTCAGCGCCGTAGCAAGCAGAGTAAAAAGGAGATGGCTACCATAGGAAACGTGGACACTGCTGCTGCTGCTCTGTCTGGCTTCAGCATCTGCGATCCTCAGACTCATTCCTCCAGCCGAATATCATAGCTACCATAAGTAGACAGAGTTTGGAAAAAATCTGCNNCCCCCCCCCCCCCCCTACAAAAGGCCCCTGCATCCTAGACCCTGAAGAACGCCTCTATACAAAAAGTATGAAACCAGAGCACAAGAGGAAGAACTGGCTGGGGATCGCCATGACCCTCTCATCCCAACAGGATGCAGGCTAGTTCACAGAGCACGGAAGCAGCAGGCATCTGCAGAAAGCTCTATTGTAACATATTGCAATTTTGGGAGGTTAACTTCCATTACCCCAATATAACCCCTGTAATATACCCCCAAATATTGTAGTAGTTTCCAATTATTTTCCATTGCCCCAATATGGTTCACTTGCGTAAGGGGGACTTGATCCCTATGATCATGCCTAAATCTACTAAAACAATGCCTATGTCCCAGTACCCCGCACGTACCAGCTAAGGGTTCAAGGTTGAGGGCAAGTTCAGGGTTTGCTTTCTGCACAGCCAAGCTTCCTGGAAGGTGAAAATCAGTAAGACTAACAGCTCGGCTACGAATCATAGCGTTAGGCCCCAGATGCGGCCGGCCTGATGCCACGGCCCAGCTAGAAATTGCTGCTTTGACTGGAAAACCCTTAAGCCCCAAGATCCTAAATCCGTAAACCCCCAAACCAAATCCCGAATACTTTACGGGAAAGGAACATGATCTGAACCAGAAAGTCAGGCGGGCTAAAGGTCTGGCCCCATCTGGCAACGTGTCGCAATGGATAAGCTAGCAAATCTAAAAGCAGATGGCAGGTGTGCAGCAAAGCCTCAGAGATCTGTGCGCAAGCCCACAACTTTCTCCATAATAATGGTAGGTTGTCAAAGTGATGCTCCCTTTTTTGGGGTCCCCATTGTCATCCGGCTCCTCATAATTAATCTTTGTCACCCAGACCAGGACCATTCCCCTTGACAACCCCCTATCGATGATTGGCATGCCTACACCTGCTGAGAGTGCGGTGGATTGGGACGTAATGGTGCCCGAACCAATACTACGAGTGGTCAGAACAATCAATCCCTGCCGGCCTGCTACCGAAGCCGGGAACCCACTTCGAGCAACAAAGCTGATGACATTAGGAGAGCTTGCTCACGAAGCAAACATCTGTGTGGCTTGAGACTAGAATTGGGGCTACAGTATCTAAGGAATCAAGGGGAGACGTTTAGCATTTAGGCTTTGGAGTTCAGTTCTTCAGAATGGGTCTGAGCTGTGCAGAAAATACCAAAGGACCTAACTAAGGCTATGGGTCCACAGGCTACCAGGCGGAGTAGATGATTGCGCGTGTCCCCGAAAAGTGTTCTAGATGGACAACTGCTGAAAACTCCCATATATAACAACAGAGCGGCAGGGAAGAGATGTTCATCCTAAGCCACATCTGGGTTGTCCTTTAAGCCATTTAGCTCTGCTGACAGTGAATGTCCTCCTACACCAAATACGATGCCCGGATCAACAAAAACAAGGGCAACCCAGAAACTTACGGCATCATGTCTGTTGAGGGTCAGCTCAACCTCAGTGCGCGGTCTTGTCTGAGGAGCTGTTAAAGTCAAAGTTGCCAAAAGAAGCGCTCCTAAGTGCAGGGAAACTACAACCAAAACATGGGGAGCTTGGTCAAAACCATGTTCCCTTTCTGGGTGCCCAAAACAAACAGGCACACACACACACACACAAGGCATTCAAAAGGCGACCATCGTTTGATAACCTCCTGAATTTGGTGAAGCCCCCACAAAGCCGCTTCTTTTGCTTCTTCTGTTAGGCTTTCAGGCCCCCGCAGCGCTGTGCCAACTTTGATAGGGCAGAGGCCCGGCAAGCCTCTGCAAATTGAAGCATGGAACCCGGAAGCCTACCTTTGGCATGCAGGAAAAGGAATGGAAAGGAGCGCATAAACTACTGTTTAAGGTGAGACTTGGGGAGAAAAGGGGGATTCTATAGGGACTAGGATGAGGATCCATTCCTTCATTCCTTGCTTGCAAGGAGCAAGTCTCGCCGAAACACCCCCTCTCAAACGTTAGTCATCCATCCTCATAGGCATGAAATTGCAGGAATATCCCCACCCCATATAGTCCCCTTTAAGTAGATAGAATATGGGATATACGGGGATCTTATACAATATACCCGAAGCCATATTCTATCTGCTCAAAAGGGGGCTATACCCTTAAACATCGTAATCCTTCAAGAATGAGGGGAACCATTGTTGCTCTTCAGCTACCTCGCGGCGAGCCTTTGTCTGCGCGGACCACTGAGCTATTGCCACAGCGTTTGCCAGTCGTCAATCCTCAGTTGTATGGGTAACTGCCTGCAACGATGCGTTAAGTGATGCCATCTATATTCGAGGAGCTCTCTAAATAGACACCGGCATGTACACAAACCAATCTGCCGGAGAAGCCCTGTATATACACTCACCAAATCATGGAAGCGTACACCATGTACCAACCTGGAGATTCATAGGTACTTCTCAGTAGAGGCATGTACAAGGTGACGTGACAAGTCATATGAGCCATAGTCTATAAGCTCCTAGTACCCCCCATAACAACCCCTATAGTGGTCCGTCCCTATGTAATGCCCTATATAAGGAGTTTAGACTGTAGCTCAGATTTTGATAGTCATAATATGGGCTGCAGGCCACTTGCGGCTCCCTGACTAGATCTGCCTCGTATGCATTCATCTTATGGCAGGACCCGTCTTTTGGACGCCACTCAAATTTAGTAGACCCCGTATTGTCAACCCCATAAACCCACACGGAGTACCTGAACCCGCAGAATAGTTGCATGTTTGACATGTGTTGGAGGGTAGGGCCATCGTGGGACCTACTTTGGGGTCCAGGAAGAAGCAGATATAAACCTGACACAGGATGGCCCGCCTTCTCTTCAGCCACCGAATAACGTATCGGCGATCTACCTGGGGAGGGGACTGTTATGGGGATTATACAGAGGTTATGGGGATTATACAGAGAATACTACAGGGATCCGTTTCCGCAGTCCCAACGAAGTGTGAGAACGACTTTGGGGCTGGCGTGCCATGTCAGCAACTGCCATGAGCCAGTACCCATTTTGGGAGTTTGTAGGGGTTATATAAGGAATATATAGGGATTATGTAGGGGTTGTATAGGGATAATGGAAAGGTGGAAACTACTATTTACAAGTAGGGTGTATGGTTTGGGGTTGCACGGGAGTTTCTTAAAGCCTTGGTCTTTTTGGGCTTACAGTCAGTGTAGAGGGTGGGGACCCATGTTGAGGCGTGGCCACGTTGAGCTTTTGGGAGCTCTGGATAGCTTACAAGCGGTTTCATGCAGGAAAGATAGAGAAACACTTTTCCATTATCCCTTTATAACCCCTACATAATCCCTATTTAATCCTTATATACCCCCTACAAACTCCCAACACGGGTATCTTGAATCCAAGGCCCCTCATCTGTCGTTCGACTTGTGTTTGCTATTGGGGTCGGCAAAATCACATGATCTCGTTTCCAGATATTCTACCCAAACATTGCATTTATCCTTCCATCTGCGCCCCTATCTGGTTTTGTAAGACATGCTGGTCCAGCACGCAAACATACTGGCTGGTTACCCGACGAGGACTTATAGTCCCTAGAACTCCATTCTTCTACTCGTATTGCAATGCATCTTGCTCTGGAAATTGGGCTGCCAATTTGCAATTTGCCTGGAAGGTATTTTTTGCTGTGTGCCGAATCCTGAGAAGCAAATGAGTCCGAATCTTGAGGATCGTGCTCCGACCATTGTTTTTGCAAATGTTAAGCACCCAGCCTTCTCAGCAGCCTTTGTCGAAGTGCAGGCAGCAATAATGCTTCTTCGCTCCCGACCACCCGGCCTCATCACTCCATTCTAGTTGGGGTTTGGATGCAACACATTAATCCCATGAATCCATTAATCCCTGTCCGTAGACGAGACTACATATGAAAGGTCGGCGGGGCATCAGGGCCGGACCACGATGCCGGCGGTGCAGTCGAAGGGCAGGCCGCCGTGCATGTGGACCTGTTTGCAAGAATTTTGTCCTTCAGCCATCATGACGCTGCTTGCTACTGCGCCAGCTACTTATCCGGCCATGCTTCACCGATGTCCCTGGGTTCACACCGCCTGCGTCCAGTGCCCTCCTTCGCCTCCGGAAACGGCCTCAGTCAATTGAAGTCAAGCACAGCAGAGAAGCGTTCCCTATCCAAAGTATCCGCCGAGCAGCCCAGTGCCACATCATGCCCGCGCCGGCCGCGCTCGGGGGATGACCCGCGAAGCTGTAGCCTCCACCAGCGGCCGCACCGCCAGCGATCGCACCGCCAGCGGCCGCACCGCCAGCGGCCGCACCGCCGGCGGCACCGCCCGCGCCGCCTGATTGCGAGATGTCAACGGCATCAAGTGATGTTGCGCATCCCCCTGCAGCCCTTCCAAGGCCTGAGTACACGTCGTGATGCACGACATGCGTGGTCACCACCGTGGAACCACCGCCGCCACCGCCATAGTGGTAGCCCGGGCAGCCCAGATGCTCGTGGCTGCAGCACCTCAGAGCATGCAGCACTTCCCTCTGAATCGCTGCGGGTCCTTCCGTTCAGGATGAACATTTCAAAAATCCCGTGGGGGTTTGCAAGGCTTGCGCCAAGTCTTCTTCAGCGCGGACCATCCCGTGCTCCAGTTCGGCAAGCCTCCGTGGCTCAGCCACGACGCGTGCTTCAAGGATCTACAAGGATCAAGATGCGCTGATAACGCGTGCATGGCACATAACAGAACTCCGACCATCACGGTGCAGCCCAGCAGCCTGCGTGGCAGTCATATGGTTTGCTCATCACCGTCGTGCCGCCCACGGCCACGGCCTGCGCAGAGAGAACATGAGAGAACGCAACAAACCTAGGCTAGGACCTGTTCAGCTTTCGCCCCGCAAAGGACCCTTGCGTCGCCTGCCACGTCCAGTGGTTCGAGATGAACACCTTCCTGAGCAGACATGTATTAGGATATTGAGACATGTATGCACGGGATGGCAACTGCGGCTGCGCCAAGAGATGCCAAGAGGCTTCCAGTACATGCCAGCTCCGGCATCGCAGTCTGGAGGCGTGTCCGGGTTCTGGCAGCCTAGGCGCGTGCTGCGCATGCTTTGCAGAACACGTCCGACGCCGGCTCCGACTTGCAGCATCTTGCGGCCCAGCGGCCCTTCTGCTCGTTGTCGCAGCACCAGATCTTCTTCTCGGGCGACCAGGCGCGGCACCTTGCGGAGCTGCCGTTGTCTGGGCCCGCTCCCTGAAAAGGGCGTTCTTATCCAATATAAATCCCTTATCAAGATTTTAACAATTAGATTTGATATGATCATACGTGCCCAATACGTCAAGAAGACGCACGGGGCCCGCGCCAGTTGCCCAGGGCAGCGTTACCTCGGGACAGCTTCGAGCATCATGCTCCGCCCGAAGGCCCACCCTCTCTCCCCCCCGTTTTCCCCACTTCGGCCGGGTCGCAGTCGTAGGGGTCCGAGCCCGGGCCCTGCTCTCCGC